TGCCACAGCCTCAACTCATGCTAGTTTCAGTGCAGTGTATGTGGCCTTGGTGAGGACAAAAGGAGAGCAAGGGGACTGTAGAAAGCCCCTTGAAAAAGCACCCAACGGAAGCTGCAGTTTGCTGGGCTACATTCAGGCTATGTCTAGACTGCAAGCCTCTTTCGAAAGAGAGCGTCTAGACTGCACGCGGAACTTTCGAAAAAGCAAGCCGCTTTTTCGAAAGAAAGCACCCAGTGAGTCTGGATGCTCTCTTTCGAAGAAGCCCTATTTACATTCAAGAACGCCTTCTTTCGAAAGAGCACTTTCGAAAGAAGGCGTTCTTCCTCGTGAAATGAGGTTTACCGCCGTCGAAAGAAAAGCCGCGTTCTTTCGATTTAATTTCGAAAGAACGCGGCTGCAGTCTAGACGCAGGTGAAGTTTTTTCGGAAAAAGGCTACTTTTTCCGAAAAAACCCCTGAGTCTGGACACAGCCTCAGTGAAGAATCTGGCAATGAATGAGCGGGAAGGGCAGAGTCTTGCTAACAAGATGCCATGCACGTTTGGTTGGTGTTTGGACTCGAGATGGAATTTCCCACATGTGCCTTTCCCCAGGATAGACTGAACGCTACCCTCCCGGGAGGAGAATTGTCTTTTTGAGATGTGGCAGTTTTCAGGGAGGTCTGTCTTCACCGTGTTTCCCCTTTGGTCTAACAACAATAATAAATGCCACACGAGTCTTTCCACTGACTTCAAGATAAGGCCCTAAAATTGCAATAACTGTTCACCAGCCTATATAGTTTGTGGAAGATTTGCTTGTGGTGAGATTTTTCCTATCCACCTACATGGGTAAACGTCAGAGAGGCTTTTACCCACAGCTCTGATGCCCTGCTACAAATGCCAGATATTTGACTCCGGGCTTGTCTCCTTAAACATTTAGTTTGTGGTAAGCTGGAGTGGGAATCAGCCTGCGAGGCAGACCCTGCGGATGTGCATTTACGGTTTGTTGGTGAACCTGGATCGGGTCCTGTTTCAAAGAGGACAAGGCCAAAGTGTGAGAACTGTGAATGTGCATCAGTTAGTGGACAGTTAATCTGAGGCAGGCTAGAACAAGGCAGAGTCACACCTTACCTTGCCATAACCTAATCATTTGTGTAGACGAGTCCTAAGCTAAATAATTATCTACCCCCCATCATCTTGGTGAGGAAAAAATTAGAGCTGAGCCACTGTGAAGCCTATTAGCAATTTTCATATATTCATAGTTTTTGACACCAGAATGGGCCACTGATATCATCTAATCATACGACAGGTACAACACAGACCGTAGGCTTCCCCGAATGAATTCCCGCACAACCCCCTGATTTACACACATCGTTTGAGGCCCTAGATGAAAGTCACTACTCTACTGAAGTCACTACTGACAGGATGCAAAATTAAGCATGTGCATAAACCTTTGCAGGATCGGGGCCTTCTTGCCATGAGAGAGGCTTTCAGAGAAAAGGTATTTTCAGGACTCTGCTAACCTACCCATGATAAAACTATATTGTAAACCCATCTGACAAAAGGGGGCATTAATCTTTCACGTGTCCCATCAATGTGTCTTTCTGATGTTTTCCCAACACTCTTATGCTTGATAAAAGTATATTTCTTTTGATTTTATAGACACTGGATTGGATTTTTATGGAAGAGATGCCTTGACTACTCAACACTAAAGCATAGAAAGGCACTTTTTGGAGAAGCTGTTTGGAACGAATGCTTTTCCACGAAGCCGCAAGATACAAAGAATGATTGAAAATAATATTGCTGGGAGTGGTCTTTTGGGGTGATGCAACTGAATGCTTATCTCATTGGAGAAGAATACGCAGTATGGCTTTTATTCAGATCAAAAAGACACCCCTCCGGTTCTTTCTGGCCTAAGTTGAGACATGGGATTTTTGCAGACGTAACTTAAAGAAAACAAAAGGAGGTGACCAACATGGGCTATTTACAGGGAAGGATTTCCTTTGTACTCATTCTTATGCAATAGTCTTATTTGGTGAGGACATTGCTCAGACCCCTGAAAAAACAAGAAAAAAATAATACTAGAGGTTGCACTCTTTCAGCGCTAAAGAGCTTTCAGATAGTTTACATACGTCTGTACAGAGACATTTTTTACTTTCAATCCCTTTAATGTATTTTATACTTGTCAAAAATGCTACTCTAGAGAAACGGATTATTTTTAAAAAGCACATTCATAAAACTGCTTTGTGTAGAGTCCCCGGATAAACCGTCGGGCTCTATCCTTAGGACATCAGGTTAAGAAATTTACTCTCTTCGGCCAGGGTGGTGAGCATGGAGCTCATGTTGCCGATCGCCATGTTGCTTATCCCCGCTGGTATGGACGGCAGTGTCAGAGAGTTCCGTGGAGTTGTAAGGCGAGAGGAGTTCTGGGAGAGATTCTGTAGAATGCTAGGGCTGAGGGTTCCTGACATCAGGCTCGAATGGTCTCCATCATCCATGATGGCATCAAAGTCTATCTGAGCAGGTTCCAGACCTTGTGAGTCCACTGTGCTTGACACCTGGTTAGCGCCAGGAGAAGGCATGGCAGCTGGCTTGATATTCAAGGCACACTGCTGCTGTCCGACGCTACAGTCCCCATGGTCGTCAAAGCTGCCATTTTGTTCATACATGTGGATTTGACCATAATAGTACAAACTGTTTTCCCTAACACTGTTTGCACATTGCAGAGGCTGCATTGACACCGGATTGTTGGTTCTTTTCGGAGCGACCTCTTCTGTTTCTGGGCCAGGCCTCACGGTGTTAGCAGGGTGGGGAGTTCTCATGTAACCTAGCGGCTGCATGTTGCGTAGCCCTCGATGCCTGTTGATGGGACTAGGGTCAGATGGAGGATGAGGCTGTACCATTCCAGGAGGGTAGGTCTGGCCAGCTGAACCCATTACGCTCTGTTGGGGCTCAAAGTTTGGCTGATTTGAGGTCATTAAAGAAGGGGTCTGATAGAACCCCTGCTGAGTCATGGGGAAACCCATGGGATTTGTCTGAGATGAATAGGTCTGCTGACCTTGCTCGTGCATGGCCTGAGTCAGTCTATTACTATTGACCATTAAAGAGGGATCCATCGCCATGTCCATTTGCGGAGGATGAACGTGTGGGCCAGACTTTACTGCTATGTTGCTACAAGAAGGGGATAGCTGGTTTGGATCTCCACTGATTAAATTTGGGCTCAGCATTTGATGAGCCTGATTATACCCTTGGTGCAGGCTCACATCTGAGCTCATATTTGGGCCTGGATTCATCTGCTGCTGCCTCAGCTGCATACAGTTTAGCCTTTGTCCATCCATGCTCACATTTCGTTGCATAAAATTCTGCTGCGTTACGTTCACATCATTTGAACTCATCTGCATTTGTGGCTGGTTAAAGTTCGGATACGGACCAAAGTTCTGCTTCTGCTGGACCACCGCTAAGTTTCCGGGAGAAAATGATTGCTTCACTTGGTTAGGCATTACATCAACGGTACCTGAGCTAACCTCGTTCCATTGCACGGGCATGTGGTTTTTGTTCACGTTCGAGGGAGCACCAAAGCTCATGTGGCAGTCTGCTAACCCTGGACCCAAATGGCTCACGCTTGTGTCGGGTCCGACCATTCTGCGCTGGCTAGGCAAGTTCTGAGGTTGCAGTTTCCCACTGCCTTGGAAATTCGGCATTTCATGACTGTATCCCATGGACGTGTTTTCCACAGCTGTCCCGTTGTTCTGAGAGTTGATATATTGCACTACATCATCTGGCAGCATAATGTCATCCTCTCCAATGGAGCCCTCAGCCTCACCTGACATGGTTTCCATGGCAATATTTTCACTAATGCTCAGAGGTCGAGGGGAATAGCCGTGCCTGGCCAGGCTCCCATCAGAGCGGGTGTAGCTCGAAAGGCTGCAGTTCCTTCTGTCCACAGGATGTGGTGGTGGGTTGAGGGGGTTCATGTTGTTGGTGCTGTTGAAGCGAAGAACTCTAGGGAGGGACAGGGGATCTGCGGCAGGTCTCCTCACAGGATCACTCGCGCGTCTCGCATTGTGGCCGGGCACCTCTTGGGGAAAAGCCGGGGCTGCTGCGTACCCATAAGTGCTGCCATCACTACAGCGCCTTGGCCCAGGAGGGAGGCGAAATGAAGGCAAAGCAGGATCCGGCCCATCGAGCAGAGAGATCTTGTTCTTCAGACTCATTCTTTCCAAGTTTGGGAGCGGTGTGGGAGGAGGGCCCCCCGTGGCAGCAGCATACTTGGCTTTCAGCCGGTAGTGCTGGGCTGGCGTGAGGTTGAGCAGGCCTGGTATCCCGCTACACTGGCTGGCTTCGCTTGACCTGCGTGAGGCGTCGGTAGAAATCGGGTCATAGGAGTCGGCAGAGCTCGTGTTGTTAGGGCGATTCCCGAACTGCGAAGCTTCACTGGAACGGCGACTAGAGAAGTAAGGGGAAATCCCCGATGATCTGCGACTGACCGTGTAGGCCGAGCTGATGGTGCTTGTCGTACTGTCACGGCGTTCATTGAGCTGATTCAGCATCGTGATCTCGTTTACAGACAGCTCCGTTATTCTAGGATTAGGCAGTGCAGCAGAGGAAACACCAATATTTTCTAGCATAGAGCCTGGAGAAGGGTTGGGGAGGAAGACAAAAGGTTTTGTTAGCGGAGAGGGCTATTTCATGGGGAATGGCTACATTCCATTCACTGTTGTTCTTAGTATCCAAATATTTTCTGGGTGTATTACCCAACAGAAAAATGAGGTAAACGTGACTAGCTGGTCATGGAGTTAGCCATGTGGATCGACAGAAATGCCAGAAACTGAACAAGGTGGGGAGGCAGCCAGAAGGGGTGGGGTCTCAGGCGGAAGGGGCAGGGCATAAGGTGGAAGGGGCGGAGCTGGGGCCAGCCTCTCCCGGTCAGCTCTTCAGCTCTTCAGCACTGCCCGGAGCATGCTGCCCAGGGCTCCAGCAGTGATATAAGGGGCCATGCACTCCAGCTGCTGCCACTGGTGGCCGGGCTGGAGCAGCCCCCTGCCCACGTCAGGCTGGGGGCTGCTCTAGTCCGGCCAGACCCCCTCTCTGTGCTGCAGTGCAGTGGGCTCGGCCTGGCCGGAGCAGCCCACCACAGTGCAGACGATTGGAGGGTGCTTCAGCCTGGCCAGCTCAGCCATCCCAATTAACTTTTCACCAGTTAACTGATTAAATGGGGTTTTACATCCCTCCTCTATGTCACCATCCCAGAGCAGATAGAGGAGCAGATCAAAGTCTTGGCCAGAGAGAGAGACCATGGCTGGATTGTTGTTCTGCTCTTGCCATCTTCAAGGAAAACAACCCCATGGGACAGTTACTGCTAGCACAAGGCTGCTCTGATTTCCACCACTCAGGTGAGGTAGGGGCAGGTGCCTACTGGTTCTGGGCAACCCAGGGAATCCCACCCAAAAATATAAGGCTGGGTTCACACCGGAGTTGTCCTTTTATGAGCTAGCTCCTCTTTATTCGGCAAGGACTGACGCTGACAGTCTGGGAGATGATTCTGCTGCATGGCCGACCCATGAGACATGGCCGGAGGGGGTCTCACAGTGGACCTGGGACCATGGCTTACCGTTTCCTGGGATGGGAGGTAGCTTGGTGTTTCTGACTTGTGGAGCTGGGCTCACCCATGAGCAGGAATCCTTAACCGTCTTGAGTTTCTCTTTCTTGAGCTGTTCGAGCCGCTGCATCGTCGTCATGTGTTTCCGTAGCTGAAGGCTGACTGCTGAATTGCCCGATGAGACTGTCGAGTCCACCACAGGAGCACTGTCATCCAGCGCGGTCAGGTCTCCCAGGCTTCCCCCGCTGTGCATGTTCATTTCTACTCCACTGTCATTGTTGGTGGTGCTACCAAGCGGTGATGGTTCACTGCTGCAGGATGACTGGCCACCAGGACTGGACTGACACATCTTGGAAAGGAGAAAGAATGAAAGGCCTGAGTTCTGCCGTCGCGTTGTAACACACGCACACACACACACATGCAGACCTAGAGACTGGACCCCGACTTATCAACCCATTTGGTACAGACCGGCTGCCCACTCTGGTCTCCATCCAGGGAGCACTTTCTAGGTAGGTTGGAGAGTTCAGTTTCCATATCCAGTCTTTGCCGCGGACAAGGCCACTATGCTAATTAGTGCCAGCGGGCGTTATAGTTTCATGCTGTGAGCACTAGGTTTATTTTAAAAAACACAGCAGCAGTTTCACACATGTGGATTGATTTAAAAACATCACAAGCATTTGCATAAAATGCCCATGGGTTAAAAATCATTGGTAGACTCCGTTTTGCCCAAACAGACCAAATATTGCTTCTGCAGTAGATAAAGTGGTGATGTTGCATGAAAATAAGCTAGCGCATTAGCGGGTGGTGAAAGGCACGATGCAACACGCCCCAGTTTATCTAACACAGGATCAAGTCCTAAATGTTGAACAGCACAACTTATTTCTGTCTTTAAAATACCTCAAGATATAATTAGCTTAGCTGGCAACCTTTCTAGCTAGATAAAAACATGCCTTACTCTTTGCAAGGCCCCATGTACAGACGGGGTAGATAAGTCCCATAAAAGTTTTGTTTTACCTGCTTTTAAAATGGCCTTTCACACGGAGCAACTTTACTTTCAAACACACATTTGCTGGGGTATATCTAGACTATGTTCTTCTTATGAAAGGAGATATGCAAATTTGGTGCTAATTTGCATATCTGCTTCCGATCACTTTTTCGAAACGTGTTTTTTTCAAAAAAGAACGCAGTTTAGATGCGGGTCTTTTTCAAAAACCAACACTTTTTCAAAAGAACCCTTCTTCCTCAAAAAATGAGATGGGAAGGGTTCTTTCAAAAAAAGTTTTTTTTCCCCCAAAAGAACCGCGTCTAAACTGCTTTCTTTTTCGAAAAAAAAAAAGCTTTTGAAAAAGTGATTGGAAGAAGATATGCAAATTAGCACTGAATTTGCATATCTTCTTTCGGAAGCCATGGGTAGTCTAGACGTGCCCTCTATGGCCTGAACTTGCTAGGTCAGAACTTGCTTGGTGACAGTGATTTTCTTTGTTAGTTAAGATGCCCAAGTGAGTTCTCAGTTCCCAGTCCTGAACTCTTGCTCCAGGGACTGTCAGAAACTGGGAATGCAGCATAGACATTCCTTGCCCTGGGATGGGTTGTGAATGTGGAGAGACTGAATGTCTTATTCTGATCAAAACCAGCCTTAAGTAGCAGGACTGCCTGGCTTTATAGGGTCTAGTTGCCTTTCATCGGAAGGACAGAGGTTGCATTCCAGGAGCGTAACGCTGGGATGTAATGCTGGGAGCAATTAAGGGGAAGACATGCCAAAGACATGCTGAGCCCTCCTCCAAATTGCCCATTCCTAGCTGCTCACCTACATCTCTCACTCCCTTTGCATTCACACACACACTTGGTTTGGTTAGCTGCAGATACACAGTATGGAATACATCCAATGTTTACACAGCAATTGTCAATACAAATAATTTCTTTGCTCACCTTAGTACCGACTGTCCTTAGGGAGGTACAGTAAGGAAAAGTAAGTGGGAATAAAGAACAGGTTGTTAGAATGAAGGCAACATTCACAAAAGGGAGAAGATTAGTGAAAAAGCAAAGAGGGGAGTGAACAACCGAGGGTAAATTAGCCGCATTCCTTTCTTTGACAACCCCCACCCCACCAGTTCAGAAGTCAGCAACATGTACAACTGGATCCAAATCCCCACGAATTTCCATTAGATTTTTGATTAGATCAAATGTTGGGTCCGAAAGAGGGACCCCAGTCACCATTACAAGTGATTTTCATCAACTACGCTTCCGATCACTTTTTCGAAACGTGTTTTTTTCAAAAAAGAACGCAGTTTAGATGCGGGTCTTTTTCAAAAACCAACACTTTTTCAAAAGAACCCTTCTTCCTCAAAAAATGAGATGGGAAGGGTTCTTTCAAAAAAAGTTTTTTTTCCCCCAAAAGAACCGCGTCTAAACTGCTTTCTTTTTCGAAAAAAAAAAAGCTTTTGAAAAAGTGATTGGAAGAAGATATGCAAATTAGCACTGAATTTGCATATCTTCTTTCGGAAGCCATGGGTAGTCTAGACGTGCCCTCTATGGCCTGAACTTGCTAGGTCAGAACTTGCTTGGTGACAGTGATTTTCTTTGTTAGTTAAGATGCCCAAGTGAGTTCTCAGTTCCCAGTCCTGAACTCTTGCTCCAGGGACTGTCAGAAACTGGGAATGCAGCATAGACATTCCTTGCCCTGGGATGGGTTGTGAATGTGGAGAGACTGAATGTCTTATTCTGATCAAAACCAGCCTTAAGTAGCAGGACTGCCTGGCTTTATAGGGTCTAGTTGCCTTTCATCGGAAGGACAGAGGTTGCATTCCAGGAGCGTAACGCTGGGATGTAATGCTGGGAGCAATTAAGGGGAAGACATGCCAAAGACATGCTGAGCCCTCCTCCAAATTGCCCATTCCTAGCTGCTCACCTACATCTCTCACTCCCTTTGCATTCACACACACACTTGGTTTGGTTAGCTGCAGATACACAGTATGGAATACATCCAATGTTTACACAGCAATTGTCAATACAAATAATTTCTTTGCTCACCTTAGTACCGACTGTCCTTAGGGAGGTACAGTAAGGAAAAGTAAGTGGGAATAAAGAACAGGTTGTTAGAATGAAGGCAACATTCACAAAAGGGAGAAGATTAGTGAAAAAGCAAAGAGGGGAGTGAACAACCGAGGGTAAATTAGCCGCATTCCTTTCTTTGACAACCCCCACCCCACCAGTTCAGAAGTCAGCAACATGTACAACTGGATCCAAATCCCCACGAATTTCCATTAGATTTTTGATTAGATCAAATGTTGGGTCCGAAAGAGGGACCCCAGTCACCATTACAAGTGATTTTCATCAACTACTCACTAGCTCCATCTCAGGGCTTCGGAGATTTAAACTGAAACAAGCAGTAAATACAGACAGAAACGTATGTTGTCGAGTGGCATAGTGAGCTGGGTACTACGCTTGTTACGCCGTACAACCCAAGTGGAGTAAAAGGGGTTCTGTGTGTGTAGCAGAAAGGAAGGGTGGCCCACTCTGCCTCACAGGATGTAACTATGGGAAGAAGTAGGCCTACAGTCGGTTAAAAATATCATAGTTAGGAAAATCAGGGCAGAAATATTGGCATAGAAAAACAGTGTGTGTGTGCACGTGTGTGTGATTCTTACGCTAAGTTTTTCAATAAACACAGGCACTTGTGAAGGTGAAATTGTTAGTTTAGCCAACAAAAGCCATCCTGGCTGTGAAAACAGTCAATTCCTTCCTGGATTAAACTCAGATCCGCACACTGGCCTTTGTCTCTTTTATAGTGCAAAGTCATGTTGACTGGTAGAAACAAAAACATTTTAGCCTGGCTTAACATCAAGAAAATATGTCATTTTAGTCTAAAAGGCTTGTGAAGTTTTCTCTACTTCAATGGAAAACCCAGAAACTGAATGAACCTCTAGCAGGTGAAAGTGACTTTAGTCCACCCATTTATTGCCTCTTGTTTTACAAAAAAAAAAAAAAGCCTTTTTGGATGCTAACAGAAGGCGGGAAGTTGAAACATGAAAGACGTGTGGTGCATCAAGACTCTAGACGTCCTTTAACTACCATGTAATATGCAGAAAGACACAGATTCAATGAAATGAAGTGTGACCAGCAGGGCTGACAGCCTGGTCGCGGCTCTGGGCAAGGCGGGGGTGAGGTAGGGCCCCCGGGACCTCGGGCAGCAGGGGCAGGGCTGGGGCTAGCAGCCCTCAGCACCACCCAGAGAGTGACGCTCCTTCCCCCAGGCAGCCTTCAGTGCTGCCCAGAGTGCGCTGTGTGGACCGCGGTGCCCGCCACCCCCATTGCTGCAGTAGCAGCAGTGGTGACTCAGACTCTGGGCCCTTTTGCATCAGCAGGCCCCATGGCAGTTGCTGAATTTGTCCTCCTGCCTTTCCAGTCAGCAAACCTGGGTGTGACTAGCTTGGAAAGGAAACAAGACCACTGCCTGATTTAAAGTGAGGGACAGAAGCAATTGTACTACAGTGACATGTTGTCACATTTTTCACCTTCAGGCATGGCATGAAAGCCACATGGGCTGAGGCGTTCATTCATCAGACCGGCAATTTTACAAATATCATACCTTGGGCTCTGTGTTGCTGCATAACAAGACATGCAACACACTGGGGACTCTTAACTATCCCTCAGTTTTAACTTTGGAGATGAGGGCCTTGAAAACAGGGATAATCCTGCAAATCTCTGGGTGCACAGCAAACGTACGAGGAGGAAAAAGGTGGGAACTTTTCATTTTTCGCCTGCATGGCTGAGAAATTACAGGCCGCACTCTTATTTTTTGAACCATCATTTCTCTTACCATAGAATTCTCGGTCTTTATTGTTTTGACTTGTAAGCAGTCCTCCATGCCTCGGGTGGTGCTATTAGCCTCAGCACTCTCGTCTGATACCTTGCTGCTCTGCTTGGCACTTGCTTCGTTGTCCCCATTTTCCTTCAGGGGAGGTGGCCTGGGATGGACGTCGTTACGCTGCTTCTTTGTGACATGGGCGTCTGGCCCGTGCACAGTCTTGACGTGTTTCCTGAGAGAACTGGGGTCCGTGTACCTCTTTGTGCAGCCTGGGATTTTACAGACGTAGGGTTTCTGTCAATGTGACAAACTTGGAGTTATTTTTAAAGCAGACTGAAATATTGAGGGCATGCTCTGTGGACAAAGATAAGTCGTGTCCTCATAGAACACAGTGAACATGATGCTGCCAGCAAAAAATGTGGAGAATCTGCCTTTTAGGGTCTTGTACAGCATCCGGGGCAGATTCTTAAACTGTGATCCATGTTTTGCTGGTGGTCATGGGACACTGGGGGTACGTCTAGACTACATGGCTCCATCGACGGAGCCATGTAGATTTGTTGTTTTGGAAAAGGGAAATGAAGCCGCGATTTAAATGATCGCGGCTTCATTTACATTTACATGGCTGCCGCGCTGAGCCGACAAACAGCTGATCAGCTGTTTGTCGGCTTGCGCGCTAGTCTAGCCCTTTGTTGGCAGCCCCGGTAAACCTCATTCCACGAGGAATAACGGGCTGCCGACAAAGGGCTTTGATGTCGACGGGGGAACGTCCAGACTAGCGTGCGAGCCGACAAACAGCTGATCAGCTGTTTGTCGGCTCAGCGCGGCAGCCATGTAAATGTAAATGAAGCCACGATCATTTAAATCGCGGCTTCATTTCCCTTTGCCTACAACCCTAATCTACATGCCTCTGCCGACAGAGGCATGTAGTCTAGACACAGCCCGGGTGGTAGGCAACAGAGACCTGGCTAGTCACTTGCATCTGGCTAAACATCTTGTTTTAGGCTCCTAGACAGCTAAAAACCACAAACTACTTGCCTTATATTATTTTTCCACTTAAGCATTTGTCGTCACAGGAATGTTTTGTGATTGTGGATGGTAGGGGCAGTGGTCTGAGCCACTGGAATTGCCAGGGATTGTCCACAAGAGAATCTCTCTCTGTGTTAAGATGGTGTTCACGCTGGGAAAATATTTGAGACCGCCTGATCTATGGAAATCCAGAGAAAAGAAGCTAGGCTGGATTCTGTCCGTGGAGTCTTCTGTCTATCTCCAGCCCCCATCACTTTGACATCTGTTATTGTGCAAAACCAACCACAGGCACACAATGCTTTTTAAGGCAATGGTGTTTTATTCCTGGAATCATGAATCATTGATGGATGCAGCAAAGATGTCAGAGGGCAGGCTCTTGGAACCAGAAGACAGCCAGTCGCTATCTTTTCTTTTTATTAAAAATAATCCTTTTATTTACCCAATTTCTAATTCCAATGTGCATGAGCACCAAAGCTGGGAAGGCTATTGCTGTCTCATCACAAGCACTGCTTCAGCCACACAATTACGCTAAGTACTTTTCCACTGTGACATTGGACTGGATCCATCTAAAGCAGGGACGGGTAACCAAGAACAGTGGGAGGCCCGCATGAGTAGCCCTCCCCCCCGCCTGCTCCTCTCCCCCCACATGCCTCTCACACACTGGGGCACCAGAACCCCATAATTACCTGCTCCTCCCCCATCCTCCCAGCACTTTTGGAGCGCACGAATCGCCTGATTCTTGCTCCATCCCTGCTCTTCCCCCTCCCTCCCAGAACTGGAATGTTGCGAACAGCTGATTTGTGGCTCTGGGATCGAGGGGCGGAGCAGGGACAGAGTGCAAATCAGGCAATTCACGGAGGTCCAAAAGTGCTGGGAGGGGAGGTGGCGGAGGAAGTGCAGGCCCCCAGTGGGCAAGAGGCACATGAGGGAGCAGGGCTGCCAAAGGGCCCTTGGGTTGAGCCATAACTCAGTGGTTTGAGCATTGGCCTGCTAAACTCAGGGTTGTGAGCTCAATCCTTGAGGGAGCCATTTTGGGATCTGGGGCAAATCTGTCAGGGATGGTATTTTGTCCTGCCATGAGGGCAGGGGACTGGACTTGATGATCTCTCAAGATCCCTTCCAGCTCTATGAGATAGGTATATTCCCATATATTATTTTATTAGGTTGCCCACCAGTGATCTAAAGGAACAATAGGCAGATGGCTTTTTAAGGTGAACCAAAAAAGGCTATTTCTATTACTTAGGTATCTATGTTCCAATTTGACAGAAGAGCACATGTAAAATTGCTGGAGGTGATTATTTATTTATGGGTCCAACCAAACCAAGCTCCTAAACTAGCATCATCATACAAGCAGCACTAGAGAGCTATTCTTGCAACAGTCTTCCTGTCTGATTGTGGGTAAGTCTCTTCACCTCTCTATGCTTCAGGGTGTGTCTAGACTACAGAGTTTTGTCGACAAAAGTGGACTTTTGTCGACAAAACTATACCTGCGTCTACACTACCACTGAGTTCTTTCGACATAATGTCGACAGAACTCAGCAGTTTTGTCGACGCTGGTAAACCTCACTTTACGAGGCATAACGCCTTTTGTCGACAGAGTTCTGTCGACAGAAGGTGTTATTGCATCTAGGGTTGTGTCTAGACTACAGGGTTTTGTCGACAAAGCACCTTGCTTTGTCGACAGAACTGAATGTAGTCTAGACGCTCTTTGTCGACAGAAGCTTTGTCAACAGTATCCGTTGACAAAACTTCTGTCGACAAAAGCCTGTAGTCTAAACGTACCCTCAGTTTCCCCATCTGTATAATGGGGAGATAAATATCCACCTTACCGGGTGCTATAGTGATTAATGAATTAACATTTGCAATGCTCACTTCGACTCTTGGCTGGCTCAACATAGAAGTATTATTACTACTGTAATAATCGGCATTAGGGATAAGGGAATATGAGCGGCTCATCAGCCCTAATGTCTGGGAGTAGATAACAGATAATAGTTTGCTATTTATGAATATCAATAATATTGAAATCTGGTCATTACTGACAAGGCTACTGAACACTCCATTTAAGGGGGATGTGCTTATATTAGGATTTTTCTCCAGCAATTGAATCAGGCCTAACTGTTGCTTTCCTGGGATGCCTACAAAACATCTTAAGCATTGTTCAAAGACGGAAAATGGCTCCAAGATCTCCTTCTGAGTCCTCCTCAAACACTTGAAAAGTTGCCTCTCTCTGGCCAGTGAAATCACCCCAAGCCTCCTCAGAAACTCAGGGGCACTGGATTTCTGGTGTTCAACTGCATTTCAGCTTGAGTTAGGGAAAAATATCCCTTTGGTATGTCTACACTGCAATAGGGAGGTGTGACTGGAGCATGTGTAGACACACCTGATCTAATTTTGATCTAGCTCGGTAGCAACTGTGCAAGTGTATATTCAGGGTGCTGGGCAGGGAGGGCTAGCCTATGTAGCTACCTGTGCTGCCAAAGCTTCCCTGCTATTTTTATCGTATTATCTCAATCAAAGCTAGTGTATGTACATCTCCTTGAACTGGGAATCACAACTCCCGGTTTACCGTAGACATAGCCTAATAGCTGCAGACTTGTGTTCCCTTGAACTTTTCCGTGATCAGCAGGTTTGGGGCAATAGACTTAAAGAACAGTTTTCTGCAACCACGCTAGACATCTCTTTCCTGGAAAATCCACAACAGGCCGTCAGCTGTAGTGTCTGGAGGAGATTCTAACAGGTTCATTGACAACACACAGGGGTCACCCAATAAAATCAATAGGCAGCGGGCTTAAAACAAAGGAAGCATTTTTTTTCCCACAGAACACATAGTCAACTTGTGGGACTCTACCACAGAATGTTGTAAAGGCCAAGACTATAACAGGGTTCAAAAAAGTGTCCTTTTATAATGTAAATATGTTAATGGAGAATAGGTCCACAATGGCTACTGGCCAGGATGGGTAGGAATGGTGTCCCTAGCCTCTGTTTGAAGCTGGGAATGGATGACAGAAGACAGTTCACTTGTTTAACAAAGTTCTGTTTATTCCCTCTGGGGCACCTGGCACTGGCCACTGTTGGAAGTCAAAATACAGGGCCAGATGGACCTTTGATCTAACTCAATATGGCCGTTCTTATGTTCTTATGAGAAAGACAAGGTAGGTGAGGTAATATCTTCTATTGGACCAACGGCTTTTGGTGAGAGAGACAAAGTTCTGAGCCCCACAGAGCGCTGTATAATCTCGTAACTTTGTCTTTCTCACCAACAGAATCTGGTTCAATAAAAGATATTACCTCACGCACCCTTTTCTCCACTATCCTGGGACAGACACAGCTCCAATTACACTGCATACAAGTAGTTAGAGGGCCATCAGAGATCTACTGCGGCTGCATGGATTGCTTAGTAAGTTGAGTTCATTCAAACAAAATACATTTTAATGTAGTCAAATGCAAGGTTATACATCCAGGACTAGGGATATTAAAATGCAGGTTACACGTTCACATGGTTACCACTGAAAAACTCAGCGGTTACATGGTTAAACGCACCTGCAGCCTCCTGGGGGGAAGTGGGGATCTGATGTCAGCTAGATCAGATAAACAGCATGAGGAAAGACATTAGCAATTCCTGGCTGTATGAAAAGGGGAGCAGTGAGTAGGAATTGGGAGGTGATTTTACTTCTGTATCCAACCCTGGGGAGAGCAATGCTGGAATACCACATCGAGGTGCCATGCCCATATTTCTAAAAGGATGTTGAAAAATTGGAGATGGGCAAAAAAGACACTAAAAATGATTCAAGGGCCGGAGAAAATGCCTTCCAGGGAGGAACTTAAAAATTTCCATCTGTTTAGTTGATCCAGAAGAAGAGTGAGAAGTGACTTGATTATAGTGTCTCGGTACATGCATGGGGAGTAAATATCAGAGCTCTCAAATGGAGTGGAGAAATGCATCACTCAGACCAATGGCTGGAAGTTGAAGCCAGCTAAATCGAAACTGGTTATCAAATTTTAGTAGCGAGGGTGACTCAGAATTGGAGCAAGCTCCCAAGGGAACTGGGAGGGTTTCCATCTCTTGGTGTGTTCAGATCAAATCTGGTTGTCTTTAGCCAAGCACAAGTCACGGGTCTCATAGGGGCAGTGGGTGAAACTGAATGGCCCGTGATATGCAGGAGGTCACACTAGATCGGCAGTGTTCAGACTGTGGATTGGGACCCTGAAGCGGGTCACGACTCTGTTTTAATGGGGTTGCCAGGGCTGGTGTTAGACTTCCTAGGGTCTGGGGCCAAACCTGAGTCCTGCTGCCTGGGGCCAACGCTAAAGTCCAAGTCCAGAGCCCAAGGCCTTTAGCTCTTTCAAACCCTTGGGGTTCGGCTTCCCCCGGGACAGTGGGCTTCGGCGTTGGACCCACCCAGAGCAGCGCGACTCAGGCTTCCGTTTTGTTCCTCCTGCCCGGGGAAATGGGGCTCGGGTGGGCGCAGGCTTTGTTCCCTCCTCTTGGGCTCATCTAGTTATTTTTGCTGTCCAAAGGGAGTTACGATGCAAGGAAATCTGAGACCCCTGGATTAGATGATCGAATGGTCCCTTCTGACCATCAGATCCATGAATTTCTAGGGCTGAGCTGCTCAGTTCTGATAGGAAGCAGATCTGCATGGAAGCCCCTCTACTCTACCAGCTTATTACGGAGAGAGGCCAGCCTGGATGCTTCGATTCCGAGCGGAATATCTGGAAAAACGTGCAGATCTGCATGGTTCATCCTGGTGCTTTTTTGTTAAAAGAGCTCAAGGTTTGGTTATCACTGGTAATATTCTGTCATCCACTGAAATCACATGATTCCATTCTCCGCTGATTCATATGTAATGGTTACAAATTAGGCTACAGATAATCCTTCCTGGCTGCAATCACTACTAGACCTCCAGAATATTCCATTTTTTTCCTTCCTGCTGTCTGCTAATTAGTAGAAATATAATTTTTAGTCCTGAGCTTTGGCCGTTTGCAGCAGACCATCACATGCATCACAATAAGGGCAGTTTCCTGCATTCCCCAACTTCTAATAGTAGGTTTCAATTAGCCAGGGTTAACAAACCATTGCATTACACTTTATCGCTGTACATCAAAACAGGTAGGTATGACTATTTCCAAAGCGTCAGGACCCAGGGTAAGAAATCGCACCACTATGAAATCTATGCTGCAATCATGTTCAAAAGCAAGGTACATAACTGTCAGATCCAGTTTGGACTATTAAACATTATGAATTTGGAAAGCACCAGCTTTAATTTCAAAAGCCAATTAGAAAGTTTGCATACTTCAGCATCTGTTTATGGTTTCGAACATGGCTTTCAGAAATATAAAGCTAATGCGGGTTGGCTCTGCAGCAAAATAAATCCCAGTTACCCAAAAAAAAAAAAAAAAGCCTTTCATGATAGTAAATTCCTTTTCACACAAGTCCAGCATGCAAAGCATATATTGTCAGCAAACATTTTGTTAAAAGTCCACAGCACTTGTGGTGAGGATGGGTTTACCTCATTGGAATGCGTCCTGTTCTGGTGCTTTGCTCGGTCTGAAGCATTGGAAAAGGCTTTATTGCAGCCCTCGTGTTCACAGACGTACGGCTTTTCTCCAGTGTGAGATCTCAGATGAGTCTTTAAGTTCTCCAGTCGGGAATAGGCTTTGGCGCAACCCTCAAACTATAATAGAAACACAATGGGAGCGATTCATGAACCAAACTGGTGTGGTTTGCCTCCTCATCTGCTTTTCATCTCTTTTCCCCCTTAAGGAGCCTGTGTTTTAAAAACTAACATCCAATTTGTGGAGGGAGCTTTCCTTCTTGAGCAGAGCAGAAATTTCAGCAAAGGCTAGTGATTTAGGGTGCCGCAGACTTTGGGTGCCCAACTTGTGATACGCGAGCACCCTGCTCTTTGAATATTAGGCTCCCCATTAAGGTGATTCAGGTCGTGCGTCCAAAAATGGAGCCACCCTCATAAATCACTAGCTGCTTTTGAAAATCTTGACTAAGGTCTCTCATTTCACTAGCTCTAACGCTTGTGAGACGAGCCAGTTTTCTAAAGGACAAGAGTTCACATAGCAAGCGTTGAAGTTTCCCTAATTACAGTTTGGTTCCACTTTCCTGAGGGCTCTGAGGTCAGACTGCCTGACATTACCCTTTTAAAACCCACAATTCTTAATCTTAATGGCTTCTTGGACGGCACCATGGGCCAGGGGCCTGGAAAGAAAGCAACTTCCCACAGAGAGCCATTGCGGAGACCTCACCAGATTTTCAATGCTGTGAGTCCTACCACCATCCAGCGCTGGCTGACTTGGGAGTTTTCTATCTGCACTCCCCTTGTTTGTACTCTGGAAGGATTCAGCCAAGCCAAAATGAGGGAAGGTGAGATGCTGTGATATTGCCAAGTAGTAATGGCTCTGAAGTAACGGCATACTGAAACCCCCTGGGCAGGATTTTTAAAAATGGGCGCCTAAAGCGAAGTTCTTCATGTGGCATTTTCAGAGGCACTTGACTTTGGCATCGCTCTGCTCTCATTCAGGTCAAATGAGCATTTTATCATCAGCGACAGTGGAAGCCAAGGGCTGTGGAAACCCCACACAACAATCCTTATTTCAGTGCCTTAACAGGTGATCTCCATTTCCAAAAGGCCCACCGCTCTGATTTCAATCTCTGGGGACGACAGGCGGCTCCTTTAATCAGTTCGTCTAACCCGAGAGGCTCACTTCAGACTGCCATTTTGGAAAGCATTGGCAAGAAGAGGTCCTTGTTCTGGAAAGCCAAAAGCTAATTCACTAAATAACTCAGCACCTTTCAGGAGAAAGAGGAACTGTTTGATGCCTAACGCCCTCTGGTGTCAAAAGGAGCTAACTAGGTGCCTAAGTCCATTTCAAAATCTGTCCCGACGTGACTTACCCAAGGTCATACAGAAAGTCTGGAGCAGAACAGGGAGTTGCAGCCAAGTCTCCCCAATTTCTGGGCTAGCACCAGAGTCACTGAGGGTATGTCTCTTAATCTGAACTACCGGTACACCTCGTTCCATGAGAGAGCCTAATCCGAACTACCTACTCCGTGCTGCGTGTAGCCGTGGGCACGGAGTCCGAACTACCGGGGCTTTAAAAATGGTGGTGCCCGGCAAGATGCAAATGAAGCCCGAGATATTTAAATCCCGGGCTTCATTTGCAACTTCGGTTGCCTACATTAACCACCCTAGTTCGAACTAGGGTGGTAGTGTAGACATACTCTGAATGAGCAGCCTTCCTCTCTGTTAACTTTAATGCCCCAAGGGAAAGCCTACAAGCAAGTATAGCCTCCTATTCATTCTGCAAGATTGGCTCTGATCTTGCCCAGAGTTGGGGGCGTGTGTGTGTTCACTCAGAGAGCTTTGGCGTGAGTCTCTTGGGTATCCAGCTATACATTCATGTAGACAAGATTCCCCCATACCACGCCACTGATTGGCATCAGCTCACCGTGCACTTGTGTGGCTTTTCTCCCGTGTGTCTCCGCATGTGCACCACCAGCATGTACTGGGCCTTGAACGGCTTCTGCTCCCGAGTGCAGTCCTGCCAGCGGCAGACAAATTCCTTCTTCTCCCCGTGGATGTGATCATTATTGATATGCTAAGGAGAGAGAAAGACAGCTGGATCGTGATTAGAACCGCTCAAGCCGTCCCAGCACGCCCCACTCTGAAGAACACAGAAAAAACTGCAGGTCAGACCAATTTCACTGTGATACAAAAAAGGCTACAGAGCCGCTCTGTTGTGTTTCTATTAGCGGTTGGAGACGGGGTGCTGAATAGGGTCTATTAGACACAAGGGGAGGATAGTAGTGTTGGAGTGCGATGCACATACATACTGACCAATAACATCTCTTTGTTTCCTCGTGATCCCATTTGGGTCCCCCTGTTGTCTCTGGTCTTATACTTAGATTGTAAACTATTTGGGGAAGGATCCATCTTTTTGTTCGGTGTGTGCACGGCACCTGGTCTGTCACGCGGATTCCTAGGCACCAGGATCAAACACAACTCCTCCCCACCCACATAATACACCTACTGCTACGTCTTCTAGCACCCGCCCAGAGTTTTACCTCTTCAGCGTGCTACTGATGCAACGCGCCAGGCCCTCAGCTGGTGTCAGTTGTGGATATGACTTATGCTCTGCAAAAGGCACCATGTCCCCCTATTCTGGGCTCCTGCAGAATGAACTGCCCACGTCAGCCAGGCTGGAAGCAAGGGGGAGGGAGGAGTTGCTGAGTCAGAGGGCGGGGGAGCACTGGGAGTGTTAACGTACAACATGTGGACCATGATCCCTGAGCTTCCACCCAGAATGCTTCTCAGTGGGGTCTGAACACGGACTATTGACAGAGGAAGCAAAATATTCCTCTAATCAGACATTGCCCCGACAAAAGAGAAAAGATTCCTAAGCAACCCTGGTTGCACGCAGTCCTACTTCTACTCAACTTAGATACGGAAAATGTCAGGGCAGCCGAGCAGGAGGGTGGATGGCGCCCTTACCTACTTACTACCACCTGCCTTGAGTGTGGGGGACTAGATGACCCACTGAGATCCCTTCAAGCCCTACGTTTCTGTGACTGAAATAGCAGGGTGGCTCCAGCATTGAGGAGGACAGTTCAGGGCAGATGTGGAAGGAAAGGATATGAATGTCTAGGAATACTTCACTCCTCCTTAGACGCTAACTAGTGTGTAACTTGTAGCCGATTTCAGCACAGACCCCTACTGACCTGGCTATGGCTCTCAGCCAACAAACAGCCCACGAGGCCGGGGGTGAGCCAGTTGGCATGGGAGGGAAGCCCTTTTTGTTATTATTTTGTTATTATTTATGGTACTCTAATAAGCAAAGCACTCAGACAGGAGGCTCAGGGCCTCGCTGTGCTAGGTGCTGTACAAACAAGGACCGTCTGCTGCGCTGAGAGCTAGGCAATAGCCCTGACACACTGTTCATACTGAGGACTTGATGGAGGAGGGAGAGCAATGGCTCCGTATGCCATTTTGCTCATGAGGCACAAGGCCAGAATCAGCTTGTGCACGTTGATTTACATCTATTGACAGCATAGCCAGTCACTCGCCTCACAGCCACAATAGAAAGAGCAGCTAGCATACTTGTTGCAGCTGGCTGGTGTCAGGTTTTCACCTGGACAGTCTGGTAATTGTGTCTTCTGTCCGGTAAAAAAAACCCAGAAAATACCGGACAAGTAAAATTTAAAGGTGGGAATTTAAAGGTGCAGTGACTTTTTTTTTTTTTTTTTTTTTTGCTCAGCAAGTTTGGTCCTCCTTTTGTTTTTGGCTCAACCAATTTTTCCCCCACCATGTTTGGGATTTTTTGTGAAGGTATCTGACAACCCTACATACCTGCTCTTACGCTACCAGTTCACCTGCCAATAAGTCAACTAGGTTAGAACTGAGGAGACATATCAGATGGCCAGGTACCTGAGGTCACGCCACATGTCCTACAGAATCAAACACATGACATGCTTTGTTCCACTTCTCTGAACTGCAGGTTCTTTAATAAACATGCTGCGATAGATACAGAGCCGTGACATCAGGATACCCTTTAAGAAGCACTGCATGTGCACAGATTTGTCCATTTCCAGCCAACTGTTCCTCCCTAGATCTGTGCTCAACAGGAGGAACGTCATGCTTTTTCAAAGGGATTTTACTACCATCAGGGATTTTCAAAGGGATTTTACTACCACAGAGGCACGGTTTCTTCAGTTGGTGTACGCCAGTATAACTCCACTGTAATCAAGGGAGGATCTGACCTCCCTTTCCCCCTATATCCTGACTCACATGAACAGCAGAAAAGTAATAGAAATGAAAAAAAAATCTAATCCAACTCTACAAAAGAGCAAAACATAAAAACACTGCTGAGTGTTGGACCCAAGCCTCCTCTGGTTTTTGGAAGCAGTTGGTTCTTGTCTCTGGAATGGCCCAAACCAACATTCCAGCTCCAAATCTCTCTCCAAATTTTGCAGCTGTGGCCCCTTTTTATAGTGCTGGTAAAGGGGGAAAAAAATTCGATTCAATGCCAGAGCGGATGCCGGCTCTAAAACATCCACCTGCTGTCAAAAGCTTAACTGCCGGCAGGATATGACAACATCTGTAAAGTATGTGCTAAGGAGAACTCCATAGCCCCAATTACTGCTAATTACTCAGTTCCATAAAAGCCTTCACCCCTGCACTGGAATCTCAGCAGCAAAGTGGAGCTTTGCACTTAACTGGTACAAGTTTAGATTAATGTTTTACCATGATAGGGAAGATCAGTCTCTGAAGACAATCAAATGAATCAGAGAACAGTCCTATACAGCTGTATTGTTACATGCATAGAACGGAACCTAGCTGTCAAAATCATGACCTCTCCCCTCCCCCGTCTTAAGATTTCAATAAAAGACAGCAACAGGAAGTCCTAAAATAAAACACTTGAGGCTTGGGGTTTTTTTTAGACTCAGCATTTGTTTAGCCATCCCCCATCCCTCCCATGGTCAGGCACGCAGGTCCTGCCTTCGCTTGCCACTGAGAGGGGTGGCTTTGATTGTCTGTGAGACGCAGCAGCCATGGAGAAACGAATGCTCATTAAAACAGAGTAACTTGTCCTGTATTTTGTTTCAGCTACACCAGACTAACACGGCTACATCTCTATCACTATTCTACTTGCCCACTCAGTCACAGCAAGCGACGTCTGCCTGTGCAGGAACAGAATTTAGCCACCTAAAAAAAACCCTCCAGGTTTTGTTCACACCAATCACAAAGAATGTTACACTGTGGACGGAAAGCACCATAAGCTAAAACACTGCGGCTATTGAAAAACTAGCATGCTGCACATGGTGTCTTAGGGTATGTCTACACTACCACCCTAGTTCGAACTAGGGTGGTTAAGGTAGTCATTCGAAGTTGCAAATGAAGCCCGGGATTTAAATATCCCGGGCTTTATTTGCATCTTGCCGGGCGCCGCCATTTTTAAATCCCCGTTAGTGCGGACTCCGTGCCTGCGGCTACACGCGGCACGGAGTAGGTAGTTCGAATTAGGCTTTCTGACACAGAGGAAGCAGCTCCTGTCTGGGGGGAGGATGTGTCTGAGCTCCCAGACGCAACATGAGCCAGAACTGAGCTGGGCTGCCTGCCCGCCTAACTCCTAATACACTTTAAATGCAGAGCCGCAGCAGGAGTAGGTGTCGGACCTGTCACAAGCCAGGACTGAGCCAGGCGGCTTGTAGCCTGCTACAAAATTTACTAGTGGGGTGTGTGTGGTGCATGTAGTCTAGAGCATTAACCCATAAGCTTTTGCTTATCAATTAATCGGTTAACCAAGTTCACCATTACATTCCTAACTCGCACATGGTGGTGATGGGTGTGGTAGAAATACCAATGGACAGCTTATACTCAAGGGCATATTGTATAGCGCGAGGTATGGGGCGAGGATGAGCCAAAACAACAGGAGGCAGAAGCATTCGGAACTGGATTAGGTTTCCTCTAGGGGTCTGAAGCTGAAATTTAAGATTACTCAAGTCCAAGAGACTGGTTTCATAGTCCTACTCTCTTGCCAGGTGGCAGAAAGTCTGTGAGAAGCCTTATGAGCCGTTCTTCCTGAGAGATCTGTGGATGCACTAGGGCCACATCCAGACCGGTTCTGCAGGATAGGCCTCTTGGCCGCCATTGGTTTGAAAATCTGACCTAGAATTAAAACGCAGGCGGACCGGATTAGGGGATTTAAGTCATCTTGCCCATCCTGCCCAATTTAGCTTGGAGACGGTTTTGGCTTCTCTCTGCTGAGCAGTGAAACATTCAGAGCTGTGAGCATGGAATTGTCTGCAAAACTGTGTGTACCTTTGTTGCTCTGGCACCCCTCCCGTCCTGCACATGCTACTCGCACAAGCACCGTGGCTCACCGTGCGCTAACAAGCCCTTATGGGGCCAGGTACTTCTATTCGTGTGGGGAAACGTGTCTCCATGCACTGGGAGAATCAATCCTTTGGGAAGCTGGCTTCATACACCAACATCTGAATTTCATCTATGTGTGTATTTTGGGCAGCACAAATCCACAGCTCCCTGAACCACTGGTAATAATCACATCAAAGGAGTGTCAGTTTATAAAAGCTAAAATTAGGAAGGGATTGCATATTGTTCCAAATATTTTCTCTTTTTGGTTTATTTAGAAATAAATGATGCTGAACTTGAGGGATCTGGCTTGCTCTGGGATGAACGTACAGGGCTTTCCCAACAAATAGGAGAAAAAAAGACTGCCAGGAGAATGTGGAAACACACAATGATGGGATGCGGTACTGCGCAGTGCATTACAACAAAACCCAAACTTTCCTGTGCAGAGCTACCTTCTGTGTCCATCTCCCACATGCATCAGACTGATTTTACACCCAAAATTATTTCCAACCCAAACACATTCAGCACTGACTGCACTGAATGACTGACCTCAAGTGTGTGTTCCAGCCCCTATTAATGCCAGCTGGAGTTTTGTCTTTGACTTATGATTTGGCATTTGCTCTTTGGGATAGTTATGTGTGTGTGTGTCTGTGTAAAAGTGCCTAGCAAAATGCAGCCCTGACCCCTGACTGGTAGCCTCTGAGCTCTGTGCCTGTATAAACAGCATAAAAGAAGAAATTATAAATGAACAATGAGAGAGATGGTCAAAATCTCTCTTTTCAAGAAACAGATCCTTTATCGTTTCAAACTTCCTTCCCACTCTGTGCGTGTGTGTGTGCGTGTCCATCCATCTGTCCGTCCTTCACCCCGGGTCACTGAATCATCTTGTAAAAAAATAGTTGCATGGGCCGGCCCCTGGGAGGTTGATCCCCTGTCCAGAGGAAGGCTGACGGAACAGGAATGCAGGGCTGTGTGAGGCTTTTGAATGAACTTTGCCCAGCTCAGGATTGTGTTACATGCTCGGTACTCAGCCCAGCGATGGTGAGGCTGGTGAATTTTCAGTGAACCCGAGCTGGCTTTAGAACGAGCCAGGTTCAAGTTACCGATTGAAAGGGAGATTGTGCAGGGGGATTATTTGCAAAATGTGCCTGATTTCGGTGATAACGCCTGGTTTGGGGGATTTGTCAACCCTCAGCATCAGAGAGAAACTGAGGAATGCGAATCCCAAGGGAACTCAAAGACAAAAGAGGTCCCCGTAATGCAGAAATTTGTTATTTTTGTAGCTCAGGTTACTGAGTCACTTGGAGGAGCTTTTGGGGAACCATTCTGGGACTGGCAACACCACCATTGTTTTTAGGGCCAAAATCCTGGGGCTCCTTGTACAGATGCTGACTTTTGGTTTTCCCAGCAGGTGCTCCAATTCCACTTCATCCCGAGTTCCTGCTCCCTCTCTGCCCTCTTCCCCCAAGGCCCCGCCCTTGCTTTGCCTCTTCCTGCCCCAGGTTTTCCCCCTCACCTGCTGGCCACTTGCTGATTGGTGGCCAATGCTGGGGGCCCACTGATCAGCTGACAGGCCCCAGTCCCAGGGCCGGAACCACAGTAGCGGATGGGAGCTAAGCATCTCCCCTCTTTTTTTCCCCATGGGTATTTGAGTTCTGGAGCACCCACGGAGTTGGTGCCTATGGCTCCCTGCATAGCAGCCACAGGACCAGTGCAATGGCAGGGCTTTATTCCCTGCCGGAATGGAGAGAATCAGGAAGTCGTGAATCCCTGTGCAACATGGGATGAGCCCCCAATGGTGTGGACTCGGGGGGCAGTGGCCATGGCTGGGCCAAGCCAGGAGCCAGGGTGGGTCTGGGGTCAGGCGGCTCGTTTCAGTCACCGCTGCTCATGTGGCCAACACCCCCCCGCCCCCGGCTGTTGTCAGCAGACCTCACTCCAGGAGAGCAGGCCGCAGTCCGTCCACCAGTGCTGGGACTCTCACGTCCCAGATGCAGCACCGACACACCTACGGGGCTTAGTGTCTGGGCTACGCAGCTGCCGTGTGTCCAACTGCCCGGCGACAGGGGATTCAGTCCCCGCCAAAAGCCATCTGAGGCCTTGTGACCTCCACACTGGCCAAAGGGTTAAATCCAGCCGTGGGTGAGGGCTGGGGCTGTGGAGACAGCAGCTGCAGCAGATAGCAGCCAATCAGGGCTCAGCGGAGGGCTGTATATACAAGGGTTCCCGAGAGAAGAAGACTGACTCACCTAGCTGCCTGCTAGCCGGGGTACCACAGACAGAGCAGTGCTGGGGAAAGGCAGGGTGAGCCGGGGAGCTCCAGGCTGAGGCCCAGCGACAGGGCCCTGAGGGTATTAGGGCGGCAGGGAGGTGGGCAGGGAAGGCAGTTTCCCACCCCCTTGCCAATGGCGAGTGGCCATTTCAGACTGCAGCTTGCCCCTCAGGTACGGGCTGAGGCCCAGCGACAGGGCCCTGAGGGTATTAGGGCGGCAGGGAGGTGGGCAGGGAAGGCAGTTTCCCACCCCCTTGCCAATGGCGAGTGGCCATTTCAGACTGCAGCTTGCCCCTCAGGTACGGGGCTAGTTGCCGACTGACAGTGGGTCACTGAGGCCAGGTGGGTTTAGGGCCTTGGGGGTTCCCTGAGGGGGAGGACCCAGAGCGGGGGGGAACTGCAGCAGGGCAGTGCCTGGAGGGAAATGCTCCGTGGTGGAGAATAACAGGCGAGAC